TGGCAGGTTTGCTCCCAAAAGAAGACAGGCAATAGTACTGTACCTGTATCAATGATAATCTCTACTTATTTTACACATAAGAGCTGAAGAGCTGAAGGACAGCATCCAGGCCCAGAGTTCAAGCCCCACCTCTGACAAAAAAAAGATGCACTGTTAAAAACAATGTTGAAGATATCAAAGTGCATAATGGTATAGTTGGCAGAATGGAAGTCTGGGGTAGGATACACTTTGTTATGTCTACAGTCTACAGGTAATTTACCTGTAGAAGAAACTTGTGACCAGGGTAAGAACTAAGAATTCTCAAAAACCTTGGATATTTCACAGTGCTTTCTATGGGTATTGCTAAGGTTCTATAAACACTGTTATGTGTAAAATAAGTAGAGACTATCATTCATACAGGTACAGTACTATTGCCTGTCTTCTTTTGGGAGCAAGCCTGCCACATGCTTAGAAACCTATTCTTTTTTTATTCTCAGGGGGAAAATGAGATCTACAGGCAGAAAAGTAGAGAGCTGATTCATGTTATGATACAAATCATGCATCATTTTGATCAGAAATTGACCATGAGAGAAGGATTAAGACTTACTGATTTTTGTTTTGAAATGAGGTCTGTCTTTGGCTAGACTTGAAATCATTAGCCTCTAGCTGGGATTATACATGTCTACCACCATGCTTGGCATAGATTTATTCTTATTGGTGCAGGACCAACATCTTTCCACTAGCTGTGTGGCTAGCAATATAAAATTATACAATGTAATTTTTACTTTCTCATTTGATTTATAAAGTGACTTCGTTTGGCAAGGAATGTTTTCTTGGCTTAAAAAGATTAGATAATCAGAGTCATTTACACAAAATTACGTGGTCACAGAGGTAGACTGGAACTCTTTTTGACCATTATTTCATAAGCTTGGAATTGTATTCTACTCTTTAAACCAATGTGGTTGAAATTTGACTGGGGATATTTGGGAAATGGTACAAAATCCCTCATGACTTCTGCAGCACTGGAAGATAAAACGCTAAAGTATTGGACACTAAATTTAGTGTTCAAATAGCTGATTCAAATATAAATCAGCTTTTAAGATATAAGGAGGAAAATCAATAACAAAATTATTTCTTATGAATATCCAATAGTATTGTGGTAAATATAAAGAAAAGTTTGGTAAGTAAGACAGTTACCCCATAAATGGTATCTACTGCTCTACTTATCTGGAAATTAAATAAGTGATGCAAAGAAATTGCTGAACTGGAAAAAAAACAATCCTTCAAATAACCCAAGTCTGTGTTCTTCAAGAGGAATCTGGAAAATATCATTCCTAGGAAAAATGTTTTGCTTCGCTTGACATTTAATTTGAAAATATTTATCTTCAAGTTGACAGCCATTAGGTGCTACTAAGATCAGCCTTTCATCATAAATGGCAGAGAACTACTTTCTCCCAAGAGAATTGCATAGAGCAGTCCAATGCAAGGAAAACCAACACAGTTGAAAGCAGATATCTTAAGAATAAATGATCTTTTCTGGTCCCCTCTTGAGGCACCTACGTCATTTAACACTACCAATGTTGTGTCCCTAGTTAAGAGCAAAGGTAGAGCTGTCTAGCAACATTGTAATAAGGAGGATTTATATTCAGCCCTGTATTTTCAGAGAAAATGACCATCTGAAACAGTTACATGTGTGTGAAAAAAATGTTAATTATCACATAGGGCTTTCTGAGACAGACAAACCAACAAGAGTTGGAAATAGCAGTGCAACCACATTTGAATTGCATAGGTTTGAATCTACACCAATTATTTTTTTTCCTTAACTCTGCCTGATAGAACCAATATGTAATTAATATGGCATATGTATCTTAGTAAAAAGGTGTATCTGTCACTACTTTAGCAGGAATTAATTTTGAATAAACTAAAACTATTAGGAGAAAAAGTAGTTTGGCAAAGGAAGAGAAAGAAAGAACAGCTCATGGAACTTAACGTAATTTAAATGCAGTTGCAACTATGTTCCTATGTAGTATCAAAGGTCAAAGGAATGGAATAATTAAAAGTAAGAAGTGGTTTTTTTTCACTAAGGTGGGTCAAGGTCAGGTGGACATTTGAGTATGTGGTAGCAGTCAGGAGTTTTAAGATGGAAATGTATTTGATCTATTTGATAGGTAATGTTATACTAAACTTTTCTTATGTGGTGACATATTCCCACTTTGGGAACATAGATAACGATATATAGAGAAAGTTATACATTAGAAGTTATATAGATTTATGTAAAGTTAACTAACTTAACTTTTAGTGAATTTCCCTTTTTAAAGGACCTTGGTTCCTTCGAAGCTTATGATCATCTATTTGAATAACTAGTGTTCTTAAATGAACTATTACTCATTTCTCAATGGTTTGATAATCCCAGTAGTATCTTCTTTTATTTAACAGCTCTGATGCAAGCCATTATTTATTAATTAAAACCATCACATGGGAGAAATTAACAGCCAAGAAGAAAGTGAGAGAAGACAGTTGTAGCTACTTTTAGTCCAGCAATTCTGACTCATTTGAATAAGGGACACAATTTGATGTCACTTGTGGGTAACTCCACTTTTTTTTTTTCCAAATAATTGATTCATTCAGGCACTGATACAACCAACAAATTGGGTCACTGGCAGTAGACTCCAAGGATAGTGGATATATCAAGTCATTTTATTTAATGTGTAAAGTGACTTTGACATCCTTTTTTATTTAAAAATCACATCACTGTGTTTGAGAGAGGTGTACCTCTCAGGGGAAGCAAGGGGAAGTTCAGCTATCAGTTTTGCTGCAAGTACATGATGGTCATTGCTAGAATTATGTATTATAGTGACTTGACATTGAGTAGGACATTTTCAATATAAAATAGAACATGTAAATACAGTAAAAGTACAGCAAGACAAGTCAGATCTGTTTGAATTTGAAACCCAAGGGGAGATGAAAGAAAATATATCAAATGAACAAGGTCAGATTTGTACAATATATTTGTTCCTTTTCCAAATGTGCACCCTGAAAGTAACTGTTATAACACTATTTAAGATATGTTTCTGTATTGAAATACACAAGTCAGTATACTTGGCTGAAGATTTGTTTTATAGTCAGCTTGTAAGGGCTGTCCCTGAGGGACTTCACCCCCCCTAGTGGTCTTAAAGCTTTGAAGTTTGCTGATTCTAGAAGCTGCATCATGGCTTTTCTCATCCCCTTGTTGTAATGTGCTGTGGACTGCACCCATCCATCCATCATGGAATACAGACGATTTCCCTGCTAGCTAAAGAACACTAATATGGGGAAAAAATACTTGCTATTTAAGATGCGTGCCAAACAATCTGCAAATGGAAAGGAGTCTGGAAACTGTGACTGTTATTGGCAACTTCTGAAGTATTAGGTAATAAAGAAACAGTGATGAGAAAGAAGCCAGTGATGCTGACTCTTGCATCTCATTAGGTCGAATTCTTCACCTGTATTAATAGCGATGCTCACCCTATGGATGCAATTTCATGTTTATCACACAATGGTCAGTGACAACTCGGTACATCTATGTTTTCTAGGCCTCCTTTCAGGTTTGGATGGCAGAAGTATCTTAGATAATTGATATTTTAGATAATTCTTTAGTTAGATAATTAATTAGCTGCCTTGTAGACCAAGCCTTTTTGGCTCTTCCTTAAATAGGAATCTTTCAGGCAACTAAAAGTAATTTGCACTTGCCTTTCTCTACATGAAAAGTGTAAGATTCAATTTTCTAGAAAAAGAAAGCTTTGGTGCTGCATTGATAATTTTGGCATAGATTCTATGCTCACTTCTCATTGTAGCTTTTATATCAGTATAATACATATAGGAAGTGAAAGTAGAGAGATTAAAAAATACTTTTCTAACTAAATGGACAGTGTGAAAATGATTGAGAATCAGAACTCTTGGCTTTTCTGCTAGAACACTGACTGGGGTTTATGAAATGTCAAAACTTTCTTCAGTTTTTCAATGTTTACAGTGGGACCAGTGTCAATTATCCATTTGCTCCACAAATACTTTGTTGCTAGACTTAATGCCACTTGATATTATGATAAAAGTAAAGCTAATGATAAAAGGGCCCCTTATCTTTTTTCTTCTCCAACTATTTATCTCCCCATGGTTTCTTCTCAACAGTTAAGTTCACAAACAACTTTTTTTTAATTGGAAATATATTTAAGATTTGTTTAACCCATAGGAAATTAACTCATTAGATTCCTTTATTCTTAGATAATGAGAGGAGTCATGATCAAGCAAAGCAACTGCATACCAGCCTCCAATCCCCCTTCATGTAGGAAGACGGCAGGGACAAAGAAACACCCCTCAAACGAGTCTCTTCAGCATTTTTTTTAAGGCTCTCCGATGCTATTTCTAATACTTTACAATATCCAAGATTCTGAACCACTCTGCAGCTATGGCTTCTGTAGTTGTAGAATTTCTATTTACTTAAAGGGATTCCAAACCAAGCACTTTGTACACTCTGGCCCAAGGCTCAGGCCACCTCCTGAGCCAGAGGGCAGACACTGCCTTTTCTGTCACATGCTCTCAGAGCTCCTCAGGGGAGGGCTGGGCTAGGATCATACCGGGAAGCCAGGTGCCCACACCCCCATTCCATATTCTAGTCCCCCCCCCATCGCTCTCCAGGGTCCTGAACTGCAATTTCTACTTCACTCATACACTCAGTTAGATTCCTCTCAGTAAGCTGGTGGGAACATCATGATTTTTCGCCTGTTCTCCTTACTTCTTCCATTCATCCGCGACACCTCACCCCCTCCACTTCCCATTTCATTTCCATCTCTCTGAAAATGTTTCCTTCTACTTTCTACCGAGGTCACGCCATCTAACAACCCGGACCAGCCATTGCAATCCTTCAGCGTGAGCAAAGTTACAAAGCCTAAGTTCCTCCCGAAGTCATCCAAGCCCTTTCCTCCTTCCCCCTCCCCCCCAACCCCACCTCCCCATCCTGGGGCCTGGACTCCCCCGACGCCTCTCACCTGACTCTCCCGCGGAAACTCGTGGCGCACGATGCTGATGACCGGGATGTGCAGGACAGAGCTGACCAAGTCCAGCTCCATCATCTCGCCCTGGCTCTGGGGGAAGGCCAGCAGCGCCGACACCCCCTGCACCACCACGGTGTGGCACACACTCTGCAGAAAGGAGAAAGGGTCACTGCTCCACGGCGAGCTAGGGGAGGAGAAGGGCAGAAGCGGCAGATCGCCCAGGCCCGCCTCGATGGCCATCACGACTTCCAAAGACAGGTTGTAGGGCAGCAACCCTTCCACGCGGTTCAAGTTGTCCACGGCGAACAGGAGGGCGTCCCGAGGCCATAGCGTCTCAGCCCCAGTGCCCTCGTCTGGCTTCCGGGCACCGGGTGGCCCCCGGCCATGCAGAGCGCTCCCCAACCGGTGTGTGCCCTGCGAGGGCACCGGGGGCCACCAAGTCCCTGGTTCCGGCTCATCCCTCTGGGCATCGGCCCGGCTGCTGTCGGGAGCGCGGCTGGTCGCGCGCGGGGTCGTCGTGGTCCAGGGTTGCAAATGCACCGCGCCCACCCTCACCGCGTGTCCTATGCGCTTGAGGATCTGGCAGGGTTGCGGGTGCGACGAGGAGCCGGGCACCCCGGCCAGGACCAGTGCCCAGGGCGGCGGCAACAGCAGACAGACCCTGCTCAGCAGCCACCACAAACTCAGTCTCCTCATTACTGAGACCCGCAGGGAGAAAGTGCGCCCCCCACCACCACCGCCACCGCCACCTCCCGCGCGCGCCCCGGCTCAACCCCTCTCTCTGCAGCCTCCGCCCGGGGGGGGGTCTCCTCCTCCTCCAGGTCCCGTGCGCAGCTTCACCCGACGCGGTGGAGCGGACCCACCGACTGGGGTGGTCTCCTGGCCATCCACGCAGGACCTAGCGGGCCCTCGATCTTCTCCGATCCCGCTGCCAGGTTGCTCCGCCTGGCATCCTCTGCCCGCCAGGTCCCTTGGGCGAGCGGAGCAGACGGGAGCCAGCGCCTGTCACCCACGGCGGCTGGGGCGCCTGTGCCCGGCCCGCCCCATCTGCAGGGCGCCTTGGGCCACTGCGTCCAGCCCGGACGAGGAGCCGGGGCAGCCAGCGGGAGTTCCAATGGAAGGCAGCAGTGACCGAGGAGCAAGGCTCTTTACTTGGTTCGATTCTTTTCCTTTTTGTTTTCTTTTTTTTTTCCTTTCCCCCCCACCCCCAACCTAGGAGATGTCCACTTCTTCTTTTCCCCCCTGGGGTGCGGCGTCGGAGAGGGCGTTCACTCTTGGGGTGCTGCAAAGAAGCAGCCCAAGGCGCCCGGCGCTGCCGTCGGCCACCCCCTGGCGGTCTCCTCCTCCAGGGCTGGCTTCATGGTGCTTCTTCCTTCCCCGCTTCCTCTCTCTCTCTCTCTCTCTCTCTCTCTCTGGCTTTGCTTTCGGGCTCTTTCCTCCCCCAGCCGTCAGCGCCACTCGCTCCTTCGGAGGAGCATACGCGACTGGCCAGCAAAGGGTGGCTCTTCCGCTGCGAGCGAGCAAGCGAGCGAGCGAGCGCCAAAGTTCTCCCCGCCTGCCTCCACCGACGCCTCCCAGTTGCTGAGCCCTGGCGCCTGGCGGTCGCTTGGCTGCGCTAAACGCTCACTGATGGTGAAGTGTACCCCCCACACCCCGGTACCCCCGCCCCGCGGCCCCCCGGGAACGTCCTCCTCCCGCTAAGGCTGGGAGTCCGCCGTTTGCAGCAACATCCAAAAGCTAGAATTCTGAATTCCCACTCGCGCCCGGAAGGATCTGAAATCCAGTGGATCCCCGGGTTAGGCGCCAGGAGGCTGTGACTTTAAGGAGCTCCTCTCCTGGAGCCCCTTGAAAGGCTTTTTTTTTTTTTAAAGTTAAGGGTATCAAAGCAAGAATTATTTACACATTCCACCTCCTCCAGCTAGCTTCCTTCCTTTCATTTTTTCTTTTTCTGTTTTTTTTTTCAACTCTTGGCATGTGGACCTTTGCATTATTTAAAGGATTCTTAAGTGTTCGGGTTCTTAGAATTCAACCAAAGTAAATCCCAGGCAATCATTTGTTCAAGAAATTAAGGGGATTCGGATTACTGTTAGACTTTGCAATGCAGTCAACTCTAGTTCCCAGAATAGACCAAGAGATCCGCAGGTGACAGTTTCTAGTAAGTTCTTTTGTTCCCATGGCGATGGGGGGGGAGGGGTCCATAGGTATGTGATCTAATATTTTCCTCCATGAACTAGGAAGGGAAGAGTTAAAGGCAGGCTTGTGGTTTCCACACGTACAGTAGATTAACTTTATTTTGTCATAGTATTATTTACAAGGATATATATATATATATATATATATATATATTTCATATATCAGCAATTCCGAATCCAATACCACTTCCAGAGAATCATGACCTTGGCAATTTATTTCACCTGACCTTGCCCTGCAGTTTGTGCTGGTTAAATTATTATGCAAATGCAGCTAGCTTTTAGCTCTGGAGAGTTATTTTGATTCATGAGCAAAAGTTTCTATCTTGGTTTAAATCCTTGGGATGAAGATGCTCCCGCTAAATTAAAAAAACAACAGCAACCAAAAACCCAAGCAGGTTGCAAAGTTTTCCTCAGTCCAAAATACTTTTTGCAAGACTGAGGTGCCAGAAAGGAAAAATGAAAGAGTCCAAGGAGGGCAAAATCAAAACCAAAGCTGGAGCTAAATCAGGAGAAGCTTTCTCTCTCCTCCAGGTCCCCAAGGCCTGAGACAGCATAGAGTGTATGGGGAAAAGCCTGCTTACAATTCCCTCTTGTTCCTAAAGATGCCACTCTTTGAGTATTGGGAATATTGGGATCTACTCTGTATGGTTAGGGATGTGTATTTGGTCTGTGTTTGAGCATACAAGAGTACACAGTATTCCCAGTGATGATCATGGCTCAGAGTGGTCATCAGAATACTTGACACAAGTGTACAGATCAAGTCCACCACAAAATAGTGATTGATGTAATCTCTGAAGGCATCCTGTTGTCTGTAGCTAACCATGACCTTGAGAGAATGACTTCACTGATATGGTCATTCACAGTAAAGTTCTGAGGGTTGTAGGGCCCCAGCTCATGATAACCCTAAAGTTTAATGTTGAGAATGCTGAGTGAACAGGAAAGAACAGCTCTTCCTGTTGTGTTTCTTCAATTCAGATGCATTTTTTTTCTTGTCTTCTTTTTGCTGCCTGGTTCTCTGTTTCCATGTTTCTGTGGTTAAACATCTGATATGATTCTTCTCTCTCTTTCTCATACTTCTGTTTACTTTTCCCTTTTTCCATCTTTTCTCCATTTTCCCTTCCTCCAGAGCTCAAAATGTTCAAAGTATCAATTCAACACCAAACTACTAAAGCTCCAGGAGTTGTGTCAAATGTTGGAGTAGGGCTGTACTAAAAGTAGGTAAATAAACTCTGCTTAGGAAAAATTGAGTCTTGTTAGCTTTCACAAAGTCACATAGTTAATGCTTCAACAACATGTTAATGATGAGCTTATCCTTGAGTAGGGGAGACAGATAATATAACATATGATTAAGTACATGTAGGACATGTTGGTGCCAAGGAGAAACACAAAGGAATAAACAGGAAGGAGTAGGAGGAGAGTGAGTTGTAATTTTAGATAGGAAAGCCTCTCTTGGATAAAGATGTAAAGGGATGTACAAGGCAAGAACTTCCAGGTGTATGTGTGTGTGTGTGTGTGTGTGTGTGTGTGTGTGTGTGTGTGTGTGTGTGAACAGCCAGTCCAAGTGCTTTGAGAGAGTGTTTTTGAATATCTCAGGAATAGCAAGGACTCAATGGAAGCTGGTGCAAAATGATACAGGGTGAACACTGGCAGGTCAGGCCAAGTGGCCATAAGATGGCAGACAGTAGAAGCCGATGAGAAATTTTGCCTTCTCTTCTGAGTAGCTTGAGAGGCATAAGGTTAAAGGAGCCAGTGGAGGAGTGGTGGGTGGAATAATTTTGTAACAGGCCCATGTGACCTATTCAGTTGACAGTAGACAGAAACAGTGCAAGAGTAGAAACTAGCAAGATCTGATATGAGGCTGATAAAATCATGTGTGTAAAAGACAGCATCACCACCCATAAGAACTGTATTAAGTTAATATGAGCATTTTCATTCTAAAAAGTAGGACTTTGAGTTTTAAACAGTCATCACACAGTGAGTAGTATTGCTTCAAAATTTTGTTCATCCCAGCTGTGCTGTTAGTAGCAAGAATCAGTCAAATTTCAAAATTGTCTCGCCCAGAGAAGATGAAGGTTTGTTTCTTATATGATTCAACATGAGAGCTATTGATCTAAGAACCAGTGTCGGAGGAGATTCACACAAAAAGCAAATCCAAATGTTCATTTTAAAATGTGCTTTTGTGCACATCTGTGTGTTCTGATGCTAGCCATGGCTGCTCTAAAAGCTGTGAAATCCTGGAAGTGGCCCAGAAGGTGCTCCAGGGAAGAGAGCTGTGGGGATTAGAAATCTGGATTCTCTTCTCAGTATGGCTTCCCTGAGGATATGACATTTAGTCTCCCAAAGCTGGAGTTCCGTCTTTTCTACCATCATTGTGGTAACAGACTTGACAGTTGCTTATATAAACACGGCAGTGTGTAGACTCCTGAAAACCTTTTCAAGTTCCACAGAAATGGGAGACATCTTGCTATGTGTTTATAATTGTCTGGAAAATTATCCTTTATTTTCTTCTACTTCCTGACAAATTTTAAGTGTACTCATCTGGCTTTATTTATTTTTTGTTGATAAATGGCAGTGATACTAACTGGCCCAAATTATAGGCCAGTCTTTTATAAAGCAGTGACTATGTAAGTTTTTATTTGTCACTATTTAGATGAAAAATGAGCTATTGGAAAATCCCAATTATTCTCCCTCCCATACCAACTTCTTTATTGCCAAACACCTTTTTTAAAAAAATGGGAATATTTCTGGATAAAAGCCAACAAAAAGGGAGTGAAGGTTGTTGAAAATGTAGGAAGAAATGAATTTAGCAAACAAATAACAATAGGCCAGTTCAACAAAGCAGAATGTGAGCCCTTATTTATCATAATACCTTGGAACATGGTCTTAATCTTTGTAACAGTGATCCACACTTAAAATGGATGTAACAACATTTAAAAAATATAAATAACTCATAATTATGGGCTTATTAGCCCATCATTCATTACTATACATTATTTTATTATAATCATTACAAAATACATAGCCTGCGGAGAATTTGGGAGTTTAAGGAGTTCCTTATGCATTATAAAAGAATTTGGGGATATGGGAGACTTTGAGGGAGATGTTCAGATGTACAAGAATTATAAAATCATTATTATTTTACAACTTTTATTGTGAGTGGCTTCTACATTCCAGGAAGATTGTATACATGATCCATGTGAGATCTTAGCAGATGAATTGGAAAATGAGGGGGACTGGGAATGGGAGAAAAGGGGCACTAGATTCTAAGGAGATGGGTGGGGAAAGAGGAAGCAAAAATGAGTATCATTTGCCTATTTCAAATTATTGTCTAGGCTTTTTTCTTATGTTGGAAAGTACAAAGGAAAATGTCTTATTTTTACCACATGATCACTTATACCCTGGAAATCAAATCCGGGCCAGAGTTGTTACCTATTTATGAATTAGAAACTGCCAATAGCTGCTTGCCTTTCTGCTATAAAAAAATCATGTTGTCCTGATTCCAGCTGTTGGGAAAATGAGTTATCAGTTGTGACAAGTGCCTGGCCTTTTCAACATCCACCAGGGTTATTAGCTGAGTGTTCAGATTTCCTGATTTCTTTCCTAAACCTCACTGCAGGGAACTCCAGTAGTACTTAGAAAGGGTAACATGGCTCCCTCCTTTCCTCTCTTCTTTCCTTCCTTCCTCCCTCTTCTCCCCCCTCCTCTTTCTTTCCACCCCCTTTCTTTGTACAATCGTTTCAATCCAGTGTTTATGTAAGAGATGTACCTTATCCCATCCATCACACATGTGGCATTTTTAAAGGACTTTTTTCTTTAACACCCAGTTTGTAGTATTCATTTTGTAACTACAGTGTAAAGAGTTTAGAATTTTCTCAAAGCACTCTGCCTTTCTGGATCTCATGTCTTGTATCTGTAAAAATATTTTGTTTCTAAAACATACCCTTTACAACTTCAGAAAGATATTTTAGGGAAGAC